CGATGGTGTCACCATCTGAGGTTCAGCCTGTCAGTACTCAGAATAGCAATGGAAGCGGGCTAGCGATAAATTCACGCAGGTGAGATTGACCAGGCTGTTTTCAGAGTTAGCCTTTGATGAGGGTTGAGCTTGATTCAGTTATGGTGGATCACATATGGTGCTGTTATACTGGGAGGCGAATAAGTTGCTGGGATTTATCTTGTGGTGTGGCTGTTTTCCAGGCTGTGATTTCTTGGAAACTTTCCTGACACTTGATTTCAATCTGAATGTTGAATATTGCACTTCAAATGCACTTTGAATACGGTAGAAATGATTATGGAAGATGATAAAACACATCATTTAATTGTTTTTCTCCTACACAAAATATTTCTTAATCATTTTCTGTGGGGCTTCTGTACCTCTTCTTCTATTTACTTAGTAAACTATCAGGCCTTACAGTAACGTAATGCCTTTATTTACAGGCCTCATCCCGTGAAGCCTATGAGCACATCAGAGAGCCAGGGCATCCACGCTATGAAAGAGATAAAGGTCCGGGACAGCACACCAGCAAAGACAAAGGTACTGTCATACTGGTATAATGTACTGGCACGTAAACACCGTTAACCTGACCGGCTTTTGCTGTAGGAACAACTCGTGCCTGGATAAACCTAAAATCTCTTTTCCACTGTGCAACATGGTCTGCACTGTGCTCTTATTTACAAGGAGTAGCATGGAAAAAAATGCCAGGTGGTGCTATGAGACGATTGGATTTTACACATCTAAGATCGTCTGGCAGTCTGCTCTCAAAGTATTTTTAGAAACTTTCTCAAACGTTCTTCTTGTCTCTCTTTTCTTTAACTTGGTAGATGGTGATGATATTAATTATTTTGTCAGAAAAGTAATGGAACTTTTATATTCCAATTTCTTTGATTTGTTTTTCTTTGTGTGCTTAAATGAATTCCTCAATATGTCCTAATTTAAAAAGCATTCACCGAATTATCTTCTTTTCATTCAGATGATGGACTCTGTGGAAAGTGGACCGTTCACTCAGCTGACTCAGGAGGAGCTGATCACAATGGTGGTGAAGCAGCAGGCTGACCTTACCAAGAAGGACGCCAAGATCGTTGAGCTTGAGGAATACATAGACAACCTGTTGGTCCGTGTCATTGAGGAGAAGCCGAGTATCCTGTATGCCCTTAATGCTGCCAAGCCAGTGTAAAGGAATGTAAACAGGACTTAATTCTGCTTCCTGTTTGTGTTTGTACTGTATTATAAGACAGTGTCTTAGAGCATATGCACTTTTTAAACTTTCAAACAAATAGATGCTGGAGTGTAAAACGCAAGCAGAAAATCTTTATATTAAAAAGAAGAAAAAAAAACACTAAGGTACTGCAACGTATTGCAAAATATACTAATCATTATAAATAATGAAAACTGGATTCAACTTTTATTTAATAAAGTAGTTTTTTTTAAGTCTACACTGAGCAGCCTCTAAGTTTTGCTGTGTAGTGAATAATCACTGAAATCATTCATGTATGTTGTCTTCCTCCACTAAAGTCTTTATTTTTATTTTCTTTGCCTCATCTTTATGAAAGCATGTATTTTTTTAACCACTTAACAGCAGTCATATTGTACTCGCCACATATGAATGTCACCTGGATATCCAGTCCTTAAAGACACTGTGCCTATTGTTGCTTCAGAGAAGTCTTACATAGAAAACCAGCATCGACTAAAATAGAGCAGCTGCTATGTTCTCAGCAGATTTTGAATTGTATACAGAGTTAAGCAATTTTGTCTCCATTGTGCTCATAGTTCAAATATTATGCAAGTTATGCTGCAGTTTCCTGTTCTCCTTAAATTAATTAGAAACTTTGAGCACTGTGATGTGTTTTGTTGTTTTTTGTGAAGTAATTTAAAAATCAAGATCAGAGTAAAAGACTCGTTTTAGTAAGTCGCCTTGTCTCTATGTTTGATCTTCACTAATGATGCCTTTACAAACTAAAACTGTTTGATGATAGCATGGCCGTAATGATAGCAATATTAATCAGTATGTCTGTCCAGACTTGTGCCTTCCAGACCTTCTTTTCATGTATGATCTGTTGTTTTTCTGGAGTGAGCGCTCGCTGCATGTACAGTCTGATCTATCCAGTGTTTGTAATATTACAGCTGATGTAAATGTCTGAAACCGCTGTGTTTATTTTCAAATAAAGACACTAATTATGCCTCTGGACTGTGCATGTAGTCGTTTACCACCATTGTGTGTTTGCAAGTAATATACCACACAACTAAATGAAATATTTACATAATAATTATTTAGCTCTCGGCGAAGGTTCTAATTGCACTAACAATTCCAGATGTTCGGTGTTTTCCAACTTCTGGCAGGTTTATTTTATGCTT